TAACCAACACGTAGATACAGAATTGAGGTTGATTTTCTGCTTCAGAATACTTATTAATTTTCATCTTTGTTAATTTGTTTTGAATTTGTGGAACCTGTACTTATCAACATCACAAACACTTTGCAGTTTTGAATTCATTTTTATAGAATATGTGTAAAATGCAATAAATATTTGAATGATATCAGAAAGCAGAAGCGCAGACAGTTCCCTGCACAAATCAAGATAGTGTTGCTGACTAAAAGTTGACTGGTTGATTGTTAGTTGGTAGGAAATGACACAGGGCAAGTAGAGGTAGCCATTTGACTGGAGGGAAAAGGAAAGGTTAATTTAGCGTATGAGCAGTGTTTGAAGAATTTCACTGAATAGTGTTCAAAAGAAGTCAATAAAAGTGGAACTTCACAGACACATATACAGAAACTCAGGTCACAGAGTCCAGTAAAATGCTAGTGTGAATTACAAATATATGCAGCAGACTGTGGCAAGTTGAAAAACATAGGTTTTGCAGTGTCTGGAATTGGGGGGAAAATCTGTTGTCAAGGATTATTTTGTTGGTTCTGGGATTTTTTTCAAAGGGAAAACCTAGGTGGTGTGAACACTAAATATTCCTGTGAGAATCAGCAATTGCCATTTGAGAAAAATGTCTTCAATATGTGTAATTGTTTCCTATTCTCTATACCTCTTTTTTCATCTAATGACAGGATTGACCTCTAAGCCTATTCAAAATTCTGGAAACAAGTGTGTATTTAGTACAGATTTTTTTTTTTTTTGGTTTGTATTCAAGCTTAGCAAAGTTCAAGAGAAAAACAACATGCGAAGAAGTGGGGGTGCTACAATGAAGATACCGGTTTTAATTTCAACTCTGTTACATGCAGGTTACTCCAAAGGGACTTTCAAATGTCAGTTGGTCTCTGAAGTGAGTAAACTCACAATGGGAGTCCATTTTATCATTATTATTCCTTGGGGGTCTTCAGATTTTCTATTATGTTATTATGATACTTCTCAATTTTGAGTTTTATAGTTGGAACATGAAAAAGATGAGAATTTTGGTTGTTTAGAAAACTTAAGCTAATTTTTATATTTGGACTAGCAAACTCAGCAAATAATATGTTTTAAATTCAGGCTAAAACTATATGAATTTCAAGGGAAATTAAATCTGTTTCTGATTTAGGCATACATTACTCATCGAAACATTATTTGGTAGAAAATTCTTGATGTCCAGAAAGCTTATGAACCATTTTATTACCTATTTTATTTGATCCAGGAAGTTGATTTTCATGGGTAGTAAATGAAATTTATATCTAGAAAGATGAAACCATCAAGACTATCAATATAGTTATTATAATTTACACCACCAATATTTCCAAATAGATTTTGTATGGTTTACAATGAAAATACTTTCAATAGGACAGTTAAAATAAAAGTAAACACAGATTTAAAAAATGTAGAGAAAATACAAAATAATTATATGAGGAGAATTATAAAATAAATTTGTGTGAGCTTCCTGACCACCAAGGCAAAAGGCAAAGCAAATTATTTTACTTAGAAGAAATTTGCCATTTTGCTCTATCATCATGGGAAATATACAAACACATTATGAAAGCAAATGCCAAGCACATAACCCAACAAACCAGGAACACCTTGTCTAGAAATAGAAAATTACTCTCTAATAGAAATAATTTCATGTATGTCTTTTGAAGCCATGTGAGAAAATTTTGGCTTTTATTTTTCCTTGAATATTTAAATGAAAATTGAGCAATCTGGTAACTGGAGGTTTTCATTAAATATTTAACTTTTATTTGGATATCCATTCCTTTTAATATTATTTACATTTTTAACAAAATTTTTATTCAAGTTCAATGTGATTTATCATTTGTCTTAAAAACATAATAGATTTACTTTTTCAGTCTATAATTTTTTTAGATATTTATTTTTTCCCACCACCATTTCTTCTAACCCTTTGACTCTTTCTCCTCCTACACTATCCTCAGAAACCTCACTTCATTATTGTGTGCTAGTTTTTATAAGCATTTGACTTTGTTGAATTGCCCTCTATGTAAATGACAAAGTGGGTCAAAAGTTTTAGCCATCTGTATTTTCTCTATAAGACACCTGTTTAAAACTAAAAGACAAAAACAAACTGAATGATAAAGGTTGGAGCTCCATTTTACTAGCTAACAATGTACATAGAAAAGCAGAAACTGCCATTCTCATATGGGATAAACTAGACTTTCAACTAACAAAGGTAATCAGGGACAAAAACTCACACTATATAATGATCAGGGGAACAATTCATCACAAAGTGATAACTGTTATTACTACTTAGGCACCTAACTTAGGGGCACCTAGTTATATAAAGTACCTAGTAACAGACATAAAGCAACATACTGACAAAAATACAATTATTGTTGGAGACCTCAACACACCACTCACACTAATAACTCCATTAGGTATCTATGCTAAAAATGTGAAAACTCTAATACAGAAAGGGTTCTATATACCTATATTCATAGCAGCACTGTCCAAAATTGTCAAGTCATAGAACTAATTGCCCCAACGGATGAGTGGATAAAGACATGAAATATTTACCTAAAGGAATACTACACAGCTGTTAAAAAGAGGAAGTAGTGGCTTTTGGACCAAAATGGATGGAACTCGAAATGACTCTGTTAAGTGAAATAAGCCATAAAGTGCAAGGTAGATATTGTGTGGTTTAACTCATTTGTGGAATATAAATAACAACAAAACCTACACAAGTAAAACACAAGAGGAGTAAATCTTAGACTTAGTGAAATAACTTAATGGCTATCAGAGGGAACAGGGGATATGGCAGATGAAGGATGATGGGGGATGGACATGGATGGTTTAGTAAAAGGTGACTGGAACATGTGCACATATGGAGGAGCAAACATATACATCCAAAATGAAGATTAAAAAAAAAATCTGTGGATTGAAGATTTTTTTCTCAGACTTGGAATTTTAAAAAAAGATATTCTTTCTCCATTCTACTAAGTGCCAAGTTTTATTTGCCACTAGGGAAAAATATGTGTAAATACAGTTAGAAAATGAAATACTTCTTTTTAAGAAATATCCCCATGAAGTCTAAAAATAAAATCTTATCCCCCAATTTAGTAATCAATGTTTATTTCATTCATTGAGGAGAATAATTTAAGCTCCTGTGTGCTATTGAAATTTCAAATATACTTTGAAGCAAAAATTAATGTATAACATTAGATTTTGTCAGGAAGGTAACTTGAAGATAACTAAAAACAAACTTGAAAATATTTGCTTATGCTGTGCAGGCTTTTCAAAAGCCTATTTTTAAAGACTGAGGAATTAGGCACCTGTCGTTTTTGCCAGCTGGTGTAGTTGTTAAAAATGACTGTCACTCTCTGTCCGCTTCTCTGTTTTGCACCTGCTGCTACTTGAGTTATGGGCATTTCATACGTGGTAATTTAATAAGGTCAGGTCTCATGACAGTGAACTAGATGTTATCCTACTGGGAGTTAAAGCAGTTATACAAGGTCTTGAGAGAAAAGCATTAAATATGAAGCTTAATATTAAAAGTTTAGTACCTTGTAGACATCACATTTTTCTAATTGGAAATGTTAAAGGAGTATAGAAGAAGGGAAATTTAGCTCCCGTTTCCAACAGAAATGTCTTTTATCACTGGACTATTTTTACATTCAAATGTTACATTGCGACATTTGTAATTTTTTTAATTTCTTATTTTTATTGCCTGATGTAACAATTGAATGTAAGTATATGGAGAGCTGCACTGTTCATGTGGTATTTGTAAGCCACATGCCACTATTTAAATCAATTAAATTGATTTTAATTAATGCAATTAATTAATTAAATTCCTCATTAAAAATGAAATTTTTAAAAATGAAATTCCTCAGTCAGATTTCAAGTGCTGAGAAGCCACATGAGGTTAGCAGTTACCATATAGGACAGTGAAGATAAAGATTTCCTTGTTCACAGAAAGTTTTATTGAACAGTGTTGCACAAAATTTCTAATTCCTGGTTTTAGATAAACTTGGCTTTAAAGAGCATAAAATCATAGTATATTATCCTGAGGAGAATGATCCTCATATGACTTTGGCTATAAGAGCAGGGGTCAAGGTTTAAGCTGTTGAGCACTCAGTTAAGTGACTTTTGTTGATGATAGAAGAGGCACCTCTAGCTCCCAACATCAGGAAAAAGTTGTTCAGTTTCCAAAAATATATAGGCAGGCAGGTACTTACTGGAGGTTCCATATATTTACAGGTTCTTCATGCTTTTATTAGTGTTACATCTTTCTGGAGAATAGGAAAGCTATTACAACTTAATCTCTTCTAAATAGTCACATTAACTTCCAAATTCTTCCTCTGCGGTACTCTATAGAATTCTGATATGATAAAGTAAGTTTACGTTATGAATTTTTCTGTCAATTTTACTTACCATTTAGGATATGTATTAAAACACTAAAGCAAGAGTTTGGCTCATTTGGGAGATGGATATGCAAAGTAGAGAGGATCAGAGCAGGAGAGAGAATATTAATAGACAGGATTTTGAGTCCTTGAGCACAAGCTCATCCCCACAGAGCTTTTTTTTTAAGTAACAGCTGCAAGGTCACAATAAATTTTATCCTTGAAGATATTTAGTGAGGAGCAAGGGTTTATTAGGATTTTCTAATAGGCCAGATTGCTACTAGTAGTGAAATAGATCAAACTGTGTATACAAAGATTTACACAAAACTGAAGAAAACTGCTTTCATCTTTAATTGATTGGATAGTTTATATTTAAATGTCTCTGATCCCTACCTGAATTTCCTCAGTTCTCTTCCACTTTTTCAATAATATATGATTATTATTATTATTTTATTTATCATTGCTATGCAGACTGTAATAATTTATTCTTTTAAAAGTTCATCATTTCTCCATATGATGCACATTAACGAGAGAATTGTGATTGAAAAAAAATTTTCTCGAAGATACTAAAAACACAATGTGACTTGAATATTCCAGACTGACGAAAATTATTTATTGATTCATCATTTTAAAGATGTTCATTGACCAACAGTAGAAAATAACAAGTGGTGTTTAGATTTGAGGTTGTCAATATTTTATCTTTCTTGTCTGGAGCTGCAGACACTTGGTTTGGGTAGTATGAATACAAATCGTAGAAAAACAAGGTGTATGAAAATTCTGGGAATCCTTCCATTTAGAAGGGTACAAATTGTTTTGTTTTTCTGAACGATGATAACCAGGTTTGGACAGTTAGTCGCGGGTGTTACGAAAATAAGATTCCAGCCAGTCTTCCTAAACAATATTTGATCTATAAAGGAAAAGGAAATAGATTTAGATAATGAATGTATCTTTTCAGAAAGAAAGTGGAAGGATATAATGTGATTTGCAAAAGAATAGCACACTATGAACCAGTACTCCAACGTAAGCTGTTACCTCCTTGAAGAACCTGGTTGCAAGTGCTTAAGTTTGGGCTATGATAACATGCTTTTCTAGAGTAGTAGTTGTTAAAAATTTCTTTAGTTATTCTAGGAACATAAATAAGCTCATGCTTTGATTAGTGTTATGTTTCAACTAAATTAATTAAATAGTGTCACCTTCATTGACTCTCCACTGAATAATTATATTATAGTCAAAAGCAAGGTTTATACATGGAAGCAAAAACCTCAGAAATTTGTCTTATAAATGTACACAAGGAAGTTTTATTTCTAAATAAGTCATATCAAGGAGTCAATGTTTTATGATTAATATAAATAATTCTTCATTAAGAACCAACACTAATTATATCTACAATACAACGCGAAGCTGTTAAATTTTTTAAAAATGCAACCCAAGAAAGTCAGGTATTAAAGAAGGAACAGATATCTACCTTGAGAACTCCACTTAGATAGACATGATATGCTTGACAAAAGCTGTAGGAAAAATAGAGTTTTGAGTTAAAAAACAGTGAAATTCAATAATGGTGGATAATTCAATAATTGAGCTAATTAATAAATTAGCTCAATTTTAAATATCCTTAGTTATAACATTAGAACTTATTTTTTTAAGAGATCTGTTTAGTTCACTACTTTTAACACTTAATTTATGGTCTTTCCTTATTTTGTAAATTAGACTCTTGGAATGAATGGTAGAGTCACATAGTTAAATTTTTTTCTTTAAAGTATGGAAGGGTTTATAACAAAAAGATGTTCTTCATTACTGTTGCCCTGTTCTTCTCTTTATAGTTATATTTGTAGAGCTATTATTTATATATAAGAAAATACAAATATATGTATCTAAAAATATTTTTTGCACAAATAATGGCATGCTCTACAAATTCATTTACACTTTCTTTTCCCAGTCATAAGTCTTGGCAATATTACCATTATCATAAACCAGAGTGTCCTTATTCTTTTTTAAGGCTGTTGAGAATTGCATTATGTAGATTATCAGAATCTATTTCATACATTCTTCTTTTTTTTTTTTTTTTAATTTTCTAGAGGCATGTCTTATTTATCTATTTGTTTGTTTGTTTGGTTTTATACATGCACTGGGTACAGTCAGAAGCCGGGAGGGCGAGAGAATTCACCAGAGCCAGAGCGGGGAGCAGAGCAGGCAGAAGGACCGAAGTACACTGCTGAGGGGAGCAGCGGGCGGCAGGAGAGGTCTGCGCGCCATGTGGGACCCTCCTTTGGTGGCCGGGGAGCAGCCGGGGATCGAACCGGCGCCGCAGAGGCCGCGGGCAGCTTCGCAACCCAGCGCTCAACCGCTGCGCCACCTGGGAGGCCCATATACATTCTTCTTGATGGATATTAAGTTGTTCAAATATTTGAATTTCATGACCAACACAGAAATGAAAAACTGTGTATATATGATTGTTTCTTTACCATGAAGTACATAAAAACATTACATCCCTCAAAGTAGATTTTACAGAATAAATTGTAACACATAACCATGTAGGGATTTAAGGATTTACATTCCCTCCTGGAATGCACAAGATCACCTGTTTCCACACATTCTCCTCAGCCCAAAGGGTGGTCGAACTTTTGATCTTTGGCAATCAATTTATTAAAAAATAATATATTAGCGTAGTGTTAATCTGAATTTCTTTTATTATTTGTGAACTTTAGCATCATATGTTCATATATATATATATATTTAAGATTTATTTATTTATTTTTTTAAAAAGATTTATTATTCATTCATGCATACAAGAACTGGGATACAGGCCAGATGTTTGGGAGGATGAGAGGATTCACCAGAGACAGAGTGGGGAGCAGAACAGGCAGACTGACCGAAATACACTACTGAGAGGAGCAGTGGGTGAGTCAGGAAAGGGCTGCCACACCATGTGGGTATCTCCCTGGCCAGCTGGGAACTAACCTGCGCTGCAGAGGCTGCGGACAGCTTCACAGCACTGCGCTCAATTGCCTGTGCCACCAGGGGAGGCCCTCATATATATTTTTATATCCTTTTCTATGAATTATATGCATGCCTGCTAATTTTTCCATTGGGTTATGGTCTTTGTATAAATTTGAATAAGTATATATGGTTGAATGTATCAAAATTCATAATGACTTCTGGGTTTTGTATCAGTGTTAAAGGCTTTGAAAGTTATAATATCATTCTACCATTACTTTTATGCTTTCAGCTTTTGCCTTTAAATATTTGATTTATTTGAAATTTATCCTGGTGTTAGATCCAGATCTGACTTTATTTTCTAGATGACTATCCACCTATCCAAATGATATTTATTGAAAGAAATCTTCTGTTATATAATGTATTTAGGGCTATTGCTGACTACAGGGAAAAATGAAGTTTAATCAGAATTGTCAGGACTCAATTTTTCTGGTATTCTTCCCTTCCTTTACCTATCCCTTCTCTTTCCTCTTCTCCCTCTCTTTCCCCTCTCTACCCTCCTCTCATCTTGTCTCTGTTTTTCTTTTCTTACTTTTTCCCCAAGTTAACAGACTTTTCAAGTTGACATTGACATCAAAGCTATCAACTTCTTTGAAATGTGGCTAGATTAGTCTTCTTTGGAGATTGGTAAGTTTCCCAGTTTTATTAGAAAACTTTTAATTTACAAATTTTATCAAGAAATTGGATTTTGTGTCTTTACTTTGTGTAGTACTTTGCTTTTCAGGCCATCTGGGTGAAGTCACTGTAAGTCATTGATGGAAATAGATAACTGCCTGCAACGAGATGATTTTCATTTCTCGTGGAATGCTAGACAAGGAGAACTAATTTTAGCACCAGTTCTGCCATTAATGATTTGAACTTCACTAAGTAACTAAACCTCTTTGACCCTTAGTTTCCTCATTTTTGTAATTGCTTACTATTAGTAACAGACTCTAGGTTCCCCCCAACTTTAATATTCTACTGAATTTTATTCTGATAAAAGATCTTTCTATCTCACAGGGTTGCTGTGAAGATCTAATAAGAAAATACACGTGAAAAAAAACATTTTTAACTGTAAAATACAGCACAGGAGTGCTAAAACACTGTAATAAATCTTATGTACATAATCGCATCCTCATAGGACATATTTTTAGAGTTACTTTTCAATTGATTGTTAATAAAGAACATGTTTGTTCAACAAGGGAGGAAGAAGAAAAGAAGTTGTTTCATTTCTTAGTCAGGAAACATTTATTGAATTCCTGCTGTTTCTGAGAACTTTGCCAGGCAATGGGAAGCAGAGGTTAATTAGACATAGTCCTTTCCCTCCCTCCCCAAAATATCTCACATACTAACTTAATTTTGCTTCTTATTAGAGATTTTCCAGAGACCTTTGTCCTAATCCTCCCTAGAAAGCAAAGTAACCTTTGATTTCTCTCTGATTGTGGCAGTGTCTAGAGGGCTTGTATCTGCTAGACTCAGGGAAAGTTCCATTCATCAGTTGGTTATTTTATATATGTGTATGTGTGTGTGTGAGCATGCGTGTGTGTGTTAAAGTATGGAGTTAATCAGTCCACTTCCCTTTTTTTAAACAATATAATGATTTTTTTTTTTTTTTAGAAAAGAAGTTATTTTAAGCTCAAAAGAAGTCCATCATCAAGCCAATCATTTAAGAGTTGTCATAACCCCTAGAGCAGATAGAATTGTACCTTCATAGTTGATGCAGCCATTGGAGTCTTCTTGACCTTGCATTAGGGCTTCCACTTCTTCCTCTTTCATCTTTTCACCTAATGAAACAAAACTCTGTTCAGAAAAAATTCCACCTTCAGAGATCAGTATGGGCTATGACTTACCTCTTAGAGGGAAGGAATCATGTTTTTCCTATTCCTCTGGCATTCAGTAAGTTGACAATTAATTGCTTTTGAATCAGTGAATTAAATTCATATTATATCTTATCCTAATTTTATTTTATAAGAACTACAATGTTTTACTTTACTTGTTCACTATCAGTATTTTAAGTTACTATTTTCCCAAAATAAACTCATCATCTCTGAGATCAACTGAAATGGTCATTAATAGTTGATTATTCTTTTCTATTTTTCCTTTGTCTTCCTTCCTCCACTTATTTTGGTTATAACTTGATTGGAAGTCATGACTCCCCTTTATTTCGTAAGTTATGACCTTCCCTTCATATCCTGTACTAGAAAGACCACTGCAATTTTCCTTACCCAGTGTGGCCAGAACATGGCGGAGCTCAGCACCCATGACAGTGCCATTGCCTTCTTTGTCAAAGACACGCAGACCTTCAACAAAGTCTTCATAAGTACCCACGTTCTTGTTGTTGGAAATTGCTTGCATCATGGGAAGAAATTGTTCAAACTCAATTTTCTTGGCATTCATCTCTACAGAAATGTAATTGGAAGAGTTATTAGCTACCATGAAATGCCATACTTGATTTACAAGTTAACTTGAACATTCTAGATAATCTAAAAAAAAAAAAAAAATCTTCAGGGCCTCCCCTGGTGGCGCAGGCGGTTGAGCACCTCACTGTGAAGCTGTTCGCAGCCTCTGCAGTGCCAGTTCGATCCCAGCCAGCCAGCGAGGGTCCCACATGGTGCAGCAGACCTCTCCTGTCGCGCCCGCTGCTCCCCCCAGCAGTGTATTTCGTCAGTCTGCCTGTTCCCCGTTCTGTCTCTGGTGAATTCCTCCCATGAATTCACCTCCCATCAATTCACCCTCCCATGAATCTGACCTGTGCCCAAGTTCTTGTATAAATAAATAAGTAAATCTTTAAAAAAATTCTTCATATTGCTTAAATTTCAGTTGGTAAATTGTCAAGGTGATAAAAAGTTGGAAATAGATAATGGCATGAACTCTGGAATCCTAATGTTTGAACTTTTATTCCCAAATCACCACTTTCAACTATGTGATCGTGGGTAAGATTCTTAAACTTTTTGTGCTTCAACTTTTTCATTTGTTAAACAGAGATATGGTGGCAGATAGAAATTAGACTTTTGGTGGTGATCACAATATACAGATGTCAAAGTCTAAGGCTGTACTCTTGAAACTTATATAGTGTTATAAACTAATGCTGCCTCAATAAAAAATCATGACCGAAATATTTTTGAGTTAAATCCTGAAAAAATAGAGATACCGCATAGTGTTAATCTAAGAATTAAATGATATGATAGATGCAAAATTTATTACTAAGGCTGGGACAATATAAGTGCCACCTACTATTATTGTTGATTTAATATTTTCTATAAATACTAAAGAATTAATAGAAAATATACTGTGCTGCAATAAACCTATAGCATACAAATATAACAAAATTTAACTGAATTTTAATATATATTTCGCCCTTGTCCTGAGCTTTTGTAAAGCCATCAGTTTCTTTAAATTTTAAGTAATTTTTAAAAGAAGTTTATAAGGTGAGTATGCATGTCAAATACTTGTTCTCCTGACTTCTTTGCAGTTTAAAGTCTGGAGATGACAGGAGTTTCTTCAGTATCTTCTGATAAGGTGAATTATACTCACAGCAAAAGTATAAAGTATAAAGTAGACTATCCAGATGTATGCTAATGGATAAAATTATGTACCCTTAAATAAGAATTCCTCTTACTGGTCTTTCATAAGCGTATAGAAATCTAGCACATTGAGTAATATTAAAAAGATTAAATTTATATGCTGTATAAGTGAAACATTTAATTCCATTAAGGACAGATGTGTGATGAGTTTAAAAATAAGATTGGCTTATTACATTCTTTATGTCACTCAGAAATATTTTGCATGATTTGGCTGGAAACTATACTCTGAGAAATATGAAGTTTGAGTAAAATTTCAGCAGACTTATTTAGGTAAATTTTCTTGAAATCAACTTCTTTTCTTTTGAAACAAAGGAATATGTCCAAGTCATTTAAAGTTATCTCATAAAAGAGAAATTATTTGCTCTCACTTTTTTTCCCCTTAGACAGATGAATAGCCCCAATATCTCCTTGGAAAATTTTTGTTTTGTTTCTTTGTTATTAGTATTGTTTAAGGTGAGCTATTCCAATAGTCTGCATAGTTTTTCACAAACCATTGGGATTAAATTCTTTTTCCTTGTTCCAGACTAATAACTGGATATCTTTATTGAGTGAAAAATTTTAGAAAAATTTCCATTTCTATAGCTCACTGACTTTTGTTCCAGGATTTATCTTTGGGGGCTGAATGCAAGCTTTGGCTTAGATTTTTAAGTCTTTTAGTAATTCTTTGGAAATAGGAAAAACACTGTTATTAAGATGTCCTCTCTGTTCTTAATTAACATAACTGCATTTCCTTTAAGATAGTTGCAGAAGGATGTGGTCAAGAGAAGAGCTCTGAGTAAAACCAGGAGGTATTTTTCAATCTCTTGAAAATATTGTGATTATATTTCCACTTTTTATCAGAGTAGATCTTCTCTAGAAGATGACATTGTAATTTACTCAGAGATGTAACTATAATTTGTTGACAAAATGCATTGTGTTTTATCTATATTTAATATCCCTGTCAAATATATTTTTGCCTTTGAAGGTTTGGAAAAAAGTGCCCATTTGGTTATTATTTCATTTCATTAACCTTTAAATTATAAACATTACATATGATGAGGATGTTAGCATTAGACATCATTTCCTTTCATTAGCATGACATTTTATCATGCTTAAAAATTCTCAAGAGAAGGTTAACTTATTTTATGAAGGAAAAAAACTGAGATTCTTGATGGCCAAGAGGCACATTTATCATCAGAAACAATTAAGTCCTATTATGTGGAACTTATTTTTCAATAAATCAATATTTTAAACTCACACACACACTTCCCAACATTTTCATATTTCCTGGGGAAAAAATGTGGTTACCTTCATTGCTGGGGTTCCCCAGAACCTTCTTGACCTCTGCATTAGTGGGATTTGTGCCCAGTGCCCGAAGGACATCACCAACCTGGCTTAAGGTGATCTTGCTTTCACCTGTTCTGTCAAACAGGAGAAATGCTTCCTTGAAGTCTGCAAAAAGCAACAAGTATTAGTTTGTTTCTATAAGAAGCAAGAAGCATCACGGTTGTCCCATAGACCTTTAAGTTAACTTCAACTTCACCAAGCATTCAGTTCCAACTCTCCCATTTTACAAACTTTGCCAATCACTTAACTTGTTATTTTTGCACATGCCTTTTCCTATCTCAAACCATCTTGGACCAATCATTTTGAAATTGCTTACTGGCACCATTTCTAATTTTAAATCATATATTGTTATTGATTAAGTATGAAAATTTGAACTCAGTCATATTTACATGTATTCCTTCACCTGCTTGGTAAACAGGAGAGGATTAAGAAATACTGAGACCTTGAGAAATCTTAAGAAATTCCCATTTAAACACTTATATAATTAACAAGGTCAATTAAATTTCAGGAAAGAAAATTTTCAACTGTGGTCATGGTATGTGACGTTAATCCAAACTTCTCGAATTATAGAATAACCTCTCCTTCAGGCACAAATTTCCTCGTTTCTCCCTTTAACTATTTTTTATCAAGAGTAACTTCATTTTTTTTTAAAAAAAAAGATTTATTTATGCATACAAGAACTGGGGTATAGGCCAGAGGTGCAAGGGGTGAGAGGATTCACCAGAGGCAAAGTAGGGAGCAGAACAGGCAGATCTACTGAAATACACTGCTGAGGGAAGCAGCGGGCGAGGCAGGAGAGGTCTGCTGTGCCATGTGGGTCAGCAACCTGGCTGGGGATCAAGCTTGTGCTGCAGTGGCTGTGGATAGCTTCATAATGTGTGACTTAACCCCTTGCACCACCAGACAGGCCCAAGAGTAACTTAATTTTTCAGGGAAAATTTAGAAGGATGAGACAAAGCCCTAAGTCTGTAATCATTTAACCAGTTTAATGTATGACCAATAGGGTCCCAGCATAAGGACTCAGAAGGAGTAACATTCATTTGGATCTTTCACTATGGTAATCTCTAAATTTGACTAATTTTTCAGATAATACATTGGCTACAGGTTGCTATATTAGTTTTGGAATTTAAGTCACATTTTAAAATTAAACCTTTGGGGAGATAATTATAGATTCACAAGTACTTGAACAGAAAATAGAGACATCCCTCATAGACTCTTCTCTGGTTTCCCCCAGGAATATTTTGTAGAGTGATAGCACAATATCTCAACCAGAATATTTACAACGATAGACCAGGGTTTTCCTCAGACTTCCCCAGATATTTGTGTATGTATATATGTATTAAGTACATATTTTAAAAGTGATTTCTGTTTTTATCAAAATCCTTCTTTTACTTTCTTTGTCTAAATTTTGTCATTCTCCTTTGAGAGAGTTGATTTTGCCTTTCAGAATCACATTAATAAGGAATTTAGGGAAGCACACAAGAAGACCAAAAGGGGTGCTACTATGGATTTATGGGCTGCTAAAGTCATTTTAATTGAACCTTCTAAATTACTTAAATACAATTTTCTGGGAAACTTGTAAGAATTGATAGTATGGGGCCTCCCTGGCGGTGCAAGGGTTAAGACAATCTATGAAGTAATCCACAGCCATGGCAACTTGAGTTCGATTCCTGGCCAGCCAGGGAGCAGCCCACATAGAGCAGCAGACCTCTCCTGACTCACCTCCTGCTCCCCTCAGCAGTGTACTTAGGTCAATCTGCCTGTTCTGTTCTCCACTCTATCTCTGGTGAATCCTCTCACCACCCACACCTCTGGCCTGTACCCCAGCTCTTGTATGCATAAATAAATCTTTAAAAAAAAAAAGAATCAATAGTATGTTGTTGGAGTTAAAACTAACAACACTTAAAAAACTCATTTGTGAATGAATTGTAGAGGTGAAAGGCATTTAGGTCACTAATGGTATCATACTGAGAAATGCTATCCAGATAGATTACTCAGCAAACTGTTTCATCTAACTCTCACCCCTTCACCTAATCTAAGATTGCACCAGGAATTATATTCACAATTGACTAAAGATCATATTACCATTTCTTGCTAAACTTTATGCCTCAAAAACTCTTCAATTTGACTATCACAGATCATTTCCCTAATCTAAAAAACAGGCTGCAGGCACTGTGGGGCCATTAGTCATATTATTTTTCATCTTTCTCTAAGGGACATGTGAAACTGAACTATTCTTGTTACTGGCTCCAGGCTTTCGTGCACAGATGCTCAAGGGCTCACTATTACTCTGGTCAGATGCTAATATAGAAATAGGATTTTATGGACTGCAATAGAATCACTCTGACATTAACCCCTCTGTCCATTTAAAGGTCAAGACCAGAAAGATATTAGTTACCATCCCTATCCCAGATTTTAAAAGCTTGGTTACTCTCTTGAAGAGTCTGGAACACGGCTTAGCAAACCACTGCCTAGGGATTGACCCCCTGTTTTTTGAGTAAAGTTCCATTGGAATACAGCAATGCCTATTTGTTTTTATATTGTTTATGGCTATTTTCACATTTCAGTGGCAGAGCTCAGTTGTTTGAATAGACTGTATTTCCAGTAAGGACTAGCCTATTTACTATTTGGTCCTTTTAGAAAAATTTGCCAACCCCTGGTCTAGAACAACATTATTGTAGAAATTTTTGTTATGATCAAAAGGTTCTATATCTGGGTTGTCCAAAAAGGTAATTGCTATCTACCTGTGACTTTTGAGCACTGTAAAGTTGCTAATACTATGGAGAAAATAGATTTTTAAATGTATTTATTTTGGATTAAGTAAAGTCTACATTTGAAAAACCTCATCTGGCTAATGGCAACTCTACTTCAGAGCACAGGATCTAGACTTTTAGTACATAATTTTTAGTACATAGTTTTCTAGCTGGTTTTTTCTCTTTCCTCCAAACCTGTGATACATTCAAATAGAGCAGGCATGAGTAAAAATATTTAATCATTAAACAAGAAAGCAAACAAAGGAAGCCTAATTATTTCTGAAAGTACAGGATTTTCATTTAATTAATCAATTTTTATTTTGGTGAAATTTGCTTTATTTTGTCTTTTATTGAGTTACCATTGGTTTGCAGCACTGTGTACACTCCTCACCACACCCACCACCAAAGTTTATATTTGTTTTCCTAACACAAGACAGAAACAGTATACCATTTCAAGTTTACTGAATTTCTTTCCTATCTAAAGCCTATTTCAGATGTGAAGTAATAGATTTAATATTCAATAGTAAGTCCTTCTATCCCTGAAAGGGTTTTAAGTCTTCTATTGTTTGATCCTATCATAATTTGGCTGTCAAAATGCTTTTTAAATAGATATTCGAGAGGACTTGGATGCAGTAACTGATAATGTAGCATCTTAAGTAGTTAAAATGTATTGAGAATCAAATAAGTTATAGAAAACAACCAATTGTTTTCAATAAGAAAAAAACAGTCTACTGTATAATTTGATCTTGAGTTCTGAGGTATCAAGTTATCTAATATATCTATACGGGGAAATCAGCAATGGTGTAGATAACTGTGAGTCTGTACTACAGCAAAGATCCTTTTCTTGTTAATTGATATTCAAGCAAGAGGTACTCCAGACACAGAAATAGACTGAAAAATATGGAATCCTTTAGAGAACTAAGTATGTAAATAGGTCCTTATTAATCACCTACCATTGTGATCATATATAGATTACACGTCATGACATAGATAGTATAGGAATATGTTATTATGTCCAATATTCTAATTTATAACTATCAGTTTATTGAATATGTGACATTTTCTCTTCATAAATATTCCACTTGAATGCCCCCAAACAGATGAGTGGATCAAGAAAATCAGTATATATACATAATGGAATACTACTCAGCGATCAAAAAAAAATAAACTTATGCCATTTGCAGCAGTATGGATGGAGCTGGAAGGGACTATGCTAAGCAAAATAAATCAGAAGGAAAAGGAAAAATGTCAAATGGTTTCATTTATAGGTGGAGCATAAGAAAACTGAACAAAAGTTCAGGAAAAAGACAAAACTTGAAAGCTGATCATAGATTTGAGGCAAACAGCAAGTAAGGGTGAGTGAAAGGGCTCAAAAGAGAGGAGTGTAAGGGACTATGGTGATGGTTCACTGGTGCTGTGGTGGTGGGAGAATTAGTGGGAATACACTTGAAGGGAGGAATCAGATATTGTACAAACAGGAACAATGATGTAGGAAAATCAACCAATCAATTTCTGAAAATAAAAAATATCAAATAGAGAAGAAGAAATTTCTTATTAATTTAAACTGACATTAGATTTTGATCCTATCACTGATTTTTTGCGTCTTTCAGCAAGTCTCATCACCTCTCTGGGAGGCTGACTTGACTAATGAGAGGCCAGAAATGTCTAATATTTTCCTTTATTTTGACAAACTACTTTCCCTTCTATTTCTCTCAATTCATTTTTATTTTATATCCACTCCAACCACTATTTCTTTGAATTCATCATGGTGCCAACAGAAATTGTGCAGATTTGGGCAATTTCTTAATCAACGTTACCTTCTAAATAGAACAATTCAGACCTGTCAAATCTTTCTTCAGGGATTTGTTGAACTGATAATGTATTTTTATCCATCCAAATTCCATACCCTCTTTTGCATGTTGATATATACACAGGATATTACCTACTGTATCAAAATGGTTTCATTGAGAAATCAGTGAATGCAGGTATTTTGTGGTGTTGATCTTTTTTTGCTTTAACATGTTTGGTTACTGATTATAAGGATGGGATTCAGGCTGAGAGAATTTATATTTAGATTAATTGAGACCATTTTATATTTAGAGTGGTAACACCAGTGGGCATAATTAACAAGTGCTAATCTCATCTCAAGGGAATTGATTTTCTCACATGCCATCTTTATGAGTGTGCACATATTAACAGCTATATCTTTCCACTTACCCTCCTGCTGTTCCTTAGAGAACTCGATCTGTTAGAAAAAAATTAACCACAAAGAATATTTTAACCAAAGAAAAATGTCCTGATTTTTAAATGGATCCAAGCTCATTCCCTGAGAAATCTTCAAAGTAAGCTCAAAAGTAAGCCTACTTTTCAGAGATTCAGGCCTAGCTTGGATATGAACAGGTTGAGCCACACGGTAACATGCCTTGGAGATGAGTGGTATTTCAGTAAGTAGGCAGTACTTTGCCAAATTTTGGAGTAAGAAGCTCAATTCACTTACCAGCAATTTGGTCAGCACTGAAGGACTGCAGAGGTGAGAAAGAGGAAGAAAGAAAGAAACAACTAGTATTTGTTCAAATGCATTGACAGAAGGATGAGTGCTCTCTGCTGAGATTTTTAGGAAGCCACGTAGATATCACAGAATAAGAATTTGCCTTTGGATACTTTTGAATCTAGGAAAACTACAAAGCTATTGCAAAAGATAATTAGGGAACTTCTCTATGTATCTTATTCAATGATTTAACAAATGCTAAATCAAATACTTCCTGGAATAATATAATCTATGGTGTATTTGTTATGTCTAATACAGGTACACTGTATTAAGAAGTAAAAAAAAACATTGCATTAAAAAACACCTTAAGTCTTTCTTCTATTTAACTAGTACATTTTTATCCAATGCATAAGAAGCAGTTTACTGAATTTTAGCTATTTGCATCATTTGCACGTTTTAAAAGGCATGCTATTTAGCAATAGTTGCAGGTTTTTTTCCTTCTAAATTTATATATAATCAACCTCATGTGATATAGCAAAAGTTGGCGAAGCATAAAATATTGCTTTGGGGAGTAAGATGTATTTTTCCATTTGAAGATTAATAGCTGTAATTAATCTCTCTACCCTCAACCCACCTCAATGAAAACTAAAAGTAGACTCTATAGATTCATTCAGATTATGTTTTATCCTCAGTTCTTTTCCTTGTCTGTCTTTTCTTGTCAAAATCAATCATATCCATTATCTATATCATCCAATAAGTGACAAATAGTTTCTCATAGGACCCACCATGATGGAGTTGCTGAGCTGCAAAAGAGCGGCGAGGCTGGAGTGAGTTGAGGGCTGCTGGAATCCCTGAGTGGGGGCCTCCGTTGCTGAGGCTGCCTTTTATTTCTGGGGGAGCTGTTACCTCACAGCTAGCATCAGGTTTCAGAGGGAGGTGGCCACTCCCTTGCAGAGTTCTTTAGCTTTCTTAGGGCAAAGGGAAAGAGGCATTTCTACCCTGAGGGTTATTTTTAGGTTGCCAGCCCTCAGAGTGGACAGCCATAGTAAGGCTGAAGTGCAACTGTACTTTTATGGTCTTTTACCCTGAAATGGTCTCTTGGAGTGGCCTTTTTTGAGAAGCTTGTTCATTCAGTAGCAGAGATGCTCAGAATTTCACTAGGGGCTTGGGCTGGTCACTGGTCTCTGTAAATTTTGGATTTTGTAAATTTCAAGTCAGCAAATTTTTATATTAATGGGACTGGTTTGGGGCGCTCCAAGGAGCAACTGCTATAGAAGAAATACAACCTCCGAAACTTTGTCCCCATTGGTAAAATTCAGAGGACTAGAAAAGGCCATGCATGTTCTGTCTGTTTCTTAGGGTTCACCTAAGAACAGTCTGGTCTGTTCTGACAACATTCAATTTAAGACCCAACTTTGGTAAATTACATTCTTAGAATTATAGAGTTATCTAATAGTTAATAGTTTTGATCTCCATTTTCACCATTCCCTCTGAACCTCTTTACATTATGAGTGGATATTTTCCACCCTTCTTGTTATCTTTATGGTAGTTGATGTCATATTTTTGAATGTCTGAAATTCCTCTAGGAAGGAAAACTGATAGTTCATTTTTGCATATGCATTCTTGGCATATTCTTTTAAAATTAAAATGTTTTGTAAGTTCTTATGAGAATGTTCTGATACTGTTTCTGTCTTGTCTAACATTTTTATGGATCTGTCTCTAGGCTGATAATCAAAAGAACCCAAAGCAGGGACTGCAAAATTACACTTCACAATTTGAAGTCTGCCTAAGGGATTGGTTGGTAATAGGCTTCATGGCAGCTCACCTGAAAACAGGGAGCAGCTCCCTTCTCAGTGGGTCTTTAAAAAGCAGTGCTGGTGTAAGATCAGTCCTAGAATGTTCAGTTATGTCATCAGTTCCTACATATTAAAAGCAGTTCAAAAACATTAAGTATGTTGGAGAAAAATTTAACTTAAGTATCATTTCAGAAGTTCTGGCCACAAAAAGCATGATGTGTTCTCCTGCTAGACAGATGTATACTTTCAAGCTTTCCCTCATGACATATGGGAAGAAATCAACATTTAAATGTATTTGCTTTTGCCCAGTGTTTTCAAGTAGTGAAAAAAAAAAAAAAGCCAAAGTTTTGACTCCCAAAATGAGGATTGAAATATAATTTTAAAATTATTAGTATATAGTAAATATATCGCTATAAATAGATTGACATTTTGAGAGGCTATTAGCAAACAGGTTTAAAAATTAAAAGTGTTTGGAATCATTATGGGGAAATGGAAAGAAGGGGCAAAGGTGGAAAATTTGTGACCTTTGATAATTGTGTAATTTGGAGTCTCACGATTTCGATGCACAAATTATAGCCATTAGAGCAGAACTTGATTTCTTTGTGTTCTTTTTTAGCCTTGTAATTATATTTATATAATTGGGTCATTAAATTTGAATTGCCCTGTGATTAATATTGAGAACTAGCATATATATATATTTAGTAGAGCTACTAGCTATAAATAACATAAACTCATCAAAGTGGTCTCATAATGCCCATCATATGCCCTACATAATGCTTATTTTAAAAATAGTTTTCAGTAGAAATGTTTTCTTTGAATATATATAAATTGTGGTCAACTTGTATAAAATATGTCCAGTAAAAAGGACCGTTATTTAAAAAGTTATATTTGTATTATGAATAAGTTGTTGCTAGCCACTCTCATACTATATAAACATTTACTATTAAAATAGAAGTGGTAGGTAGGGGTCAACTATTTAACTCTAGTTTTTTCTCTATATCTTTATCACATAGAGAGTAACACTTGGATTATTATTGTACTTATTGAAAAATCAAGGCAAACATTTAAGAAAGCTATTCACAACAGTAGGGAGGATTATCTATTGACAACAGAAGAGAAATACAGTCTATTTCAGAGAATACTCTACCATTTAAGATTTAGAACACCTAGATGCTGTGTTGATAGAATACATGGAAATGCTGTTAATTCTCTGGTACGTTTTACAAATTACAAAAACTTTCTCCTGCAGCCTTTCTTTGATCTTACAATGATGAAGTCATCAGCCTTTTGAACAAAAGTATCATATCAATACAACATATCAACTGATTTTAGATTGCTATTTCTAGATTTTATCCCACACAACTCTGTAAAATACCATACCTATATTACATGCTCAATAGATTTTCATTAAATTAAAATCATCAGAACATATGTATAGCAAGTTCTTACTTCAATTATAAGTTCCTCCCCTAAAACATTTTATTTCCTGAAGGAAAATACGTATATATCTTCTTTACAGAGCGTCTTACATTTTCAGAGGAAGTGCAGGCATTTTCTTTCCATGTTCCATCATTAGCCCCTAGAACTGACAAGCACATAGTAGGCACACTCGTTTTGATTGATTGGTACACATGGTTATATTTTCACAGACTTCCTTAGGTTTTATATAAACATTTATCATCAGAACAATTTTTCAACCTTCATTTTCTATTGTTTTTTAAAAATTTATTTAAAGGGCTTTTCATCTTAGCCTAGAAACTTACATTAGACTTAGTAAAGTAACTATATTCCACATTTTTTATGATTTGTGTATTTTTGGTATTTGCTTTAGGTAAATAATATTCTACAAGGTAATAATACTAAAAAGGATAATTTTTGCAATGTTTACAATTTTTTCTTTGAGAAGTTTTTATCTAAAGTAATCATGAGATTTGGTTAACTGATTAAAGAAAATTGAGTTTCTGAAATATAGAAAGAATTGATATACAGGAAAAATATTAAAATGTATTTAATCAAATAAGCTCTGGAATTGCTATATGTTAAACTTCAATATACTAAAACATTTAAAGCTACAATTGAAGACTATCTGCAAGATATGTGATGTTGAATACTGAGGGAAAATGCCTTAGGAAGGAACACAGGAAATTTACTATCATTGAGAGATATAGTAGGTCTAATCAGGATGGCTCAGGATGGAAATTAATCTCCACAGGCCAGTTTTTTCAATTACAAAACATTGCTGCATACTCTCTAATTTAGTGTGTGACAGAGAAGCCAAAGACCTGAATATATGCTAACTCTAAGGAACACTTAACATTAATTTTCACTCCAATCTCATTGGTACACTATAAAAGATCAGGAGAAGTCCTGTTTTGGAATTCTGAGAGTTTTGTTTCAGATTGAATCAACTTAAAGGAAATAATATTTTTCATTGCATTTCTTTTATAGCAATAAAGAATATTCTTAGAGTGGTGACCATAATATAGTCTGAAAAGGAGAATTAAGGACAATGGGAATACAATACAAGTCCAGGCAGTATAATATAAGAGAGGAATGATGACTGTATTGAATAAATTGATCTGAATTGAAGAGGAAATGAATAATTTTGTGCTCAAGAGGCCTAGACTAGTGAAATGAGTTAAGTCAGAGTAAAGGCTGAATTATTAAAATAGTACAATTCAGAACTATAAGAATTAACAGAAAAGCTCAAGTGAATGCTAATACAATTTTTAAAATGTGACTTAAGTCTATACTTCTTCAGATTGCTTATCAGTTTTCCATGATTAATAATTGATAAATAAAATTAAAGTTTCTTCTACTTTGTGTACTTATTTGCATAGTTTATTAAAAATCCACCTATATTTTTGTTCCTTCAATCTCTTTTTGTTTAAAATATGATAATCATATAAATTCTTTGTAATTTTTAAAGAAATTATAAGTATCTATCTGGGAAGATAGATA